TAAAATATTTTTAAAGACTTCCTCATCCCATCATCAGATCTGAGCAATAGAACTGAACTAGAATAATGGAAATATTCATTTGAGGATTTAAATGATTTATTGTATATTTAGAATCAAAGAAAATTCTAGAAGTGTTATATAAAGTATAGGAGTTAACATATATTAATGGATAAAACATTTTTCAGGACTTTCTAGTCCATTTCCCTTATTTTTTAAGTTAACAGTTTCATATTTTTAAAATATTTTTAAAGACTTCCTCATCCCATCATCAGATCTGAGCAATAGAACTGAACTAGAATAATGGAAATATTCATTTGAGGATTTAAATGAAATTCAAATAAATATCTGTCTTAAAATATAACAAAAAAGAATAAAAATACAAGGCTGGAAATAATAATAGTATAAATACAACAAAACAATAAATTTAAAAATATACAAGTATTTAAAGATTACATATGATCTTTAAATACTTGTATATTTTTAAATTTATTGTTTTGTTGTATTTATACTGTTATTTATTATTTCCAGCCTTGTATTTTTATTCTTTTTTGTTATATTTTAAGACAGACATTTATTTGAATTTCATTTAAATCCTCAAATGAATATTTCCATTATTCTAGTTCAGTTCTATTGCTCAGATCTGATGATGGGATGAGGAAGTCTTTAAAAATATTTTAAAAATATGAAACTGTTAACTTAAAAAATAAGGGAAATGGACTAGAAAGTCCTGAAAAATGTTTTATCCATTAATATATGTTAACTCCTATACTTTATATAACACTTCTAGAATTTTCTTTGATTCTAAATATACAATAAATCGTATAATATTAATTTTAGTAATCTACAAAGATAAAGCAACTTTAATATATAATGAAAAAATTATTTATACTTTACCATATCAAAATACTTCTGAGGAGTCATTTCTTCTTCATTAATTTGTTGAAGTTTGACAATATATATGTTTAGTAATTCTTTCTTGGATGTATATAAGCCATCCTTTAAAAATGTGTTTAATGAAAGATTACTCCATAAGTTTAAATTTTCTGATAGAGGAAATTTCTCTATAAAATGTTTCTAAAATTAAAAATATAAAATAGTTAGTAACAACATTTCTAATAATTATTTCTAATAAAATTTCAAAAAACATACTTTATATTTTGGTATCAGAAATTTTACTATTCTTCTAAGAAGAAATCTGATGTGCAACATATTGATATTGTTCTCTGCATCAGATTTCATTAAGAGTTCAACCAGAAAAGAACAATATGAAAAACATAAATCTGCTGAACCATACCTAAATAACAAAATAATAAATTTAATAACTTTTAATATATTTTCAATTTAATGTAAATGACATTGGCCAGAATGGCGAGCAGTTAAGATGTCAATCAAATGCTCTTGGAAATGTGGGAACAAATCTAGATGGACCAAAGAAACTCCACCAGTTGGTAAGCTTGATTAAAGACCCTCTTATGCCCACAGGACAGAGTAAAAAAATTTAAATAAATAAATAAACTATGCAACTATGCATTTACCTTGCAACAAAGCATAAAATATCACTTATTAAAGTTGCATATACTCCAGAGCTTTTTACATAATTAAACAACACCTTTTCCTAAAAGAAATTATCATTATTACTGTTAAATAAAAAAAAATAAAATTAGCTTTGAAATTTTAAAATATAATGCTTATTTTTACCAAAATTGGAAAATATTGAACAGGCATTGCTGAGATAAAACTACAAACACGAATACATACAAGTTCATAAAAACTGATCATTCTGGAAAAGATATATATAAATATATTTAAAATCTTTAAGTTGTTATAATACTGAAATATGAAAAATACTTCTGTGATTTTCCTTGACACAAATTTCCAGACAGATAGACAGGTAAATGGAATTGTGAAAAACCTGAAAGTAATTAATAAAATGGTAAAATGTTTAAAAATATCAATTAAATATTTTATGAAAACACTTACACATTTCAACTGTCGTAAAAATGGAAGTAATGAGTGACTGTTTTGCCTTAGAAGGTTTAATCCATAAGTCTTGAGTTTCTTCTACAAATTAACCAATTAAATTTGTTTTATATAAAATAGGGTAAAAATATTAAATGTAATAAGTTCTGAAAAGTTAATTTAACCTTATAACAAACACATTAACTTTGTTATATGATATGATGCATAGATTACAATTGTAATTCATGTACAAATTTCAGAATTTTTATTAAAGAATTTTACTATGAACATTCATATAAAAGTATATAAGAACATCTTACAAATGTTTATTAATTCATTGACTACAAAACAATATTTTTAACGTTAATTTTACAAACACCAAACTTTTTGTTGAGCTTAAAATTCTTTTATTTTTACTAATGTTTTTCAACCTATTAATATAGGCCATCGTCAGGCTTAAGAATATAAATTTATATTCTTTTGGTGTTTGTGAAATTAATGTGAATTATTTGTTGAGAAAGCAGTGGATAATATTTTAAAATTTTACTGATATTTAATAATAGAAAAATAAAATTAACACATTCCTCTGTTGCTTACATAAGGTAAGCATTTTGCAAAAATTTAATGTGTGTGATGTAATTGAAGATAAGTCACTATGAAGTTGGACCACTTGACCAACACCATTGGCTCAAGTCTAAAAAATCTCGAGCATACATCTGAGTAAACTTCATACAAAATATATTTTAAATCTTTGGACTAATCTCAAACAATTGTACTATTTTTTTTTGTGCCCCTTGAAGAAGNTAATAATAAAAAGCAGAAATTAACACTTTCAACAAGAGCCGCATGTAACTCAAAAAGAGCCGCATTTGCTCATGGTGGGTATATGCATTCAGAAAGGATAATGAAGAAATACATGTATATTGTATGAAATAAACATTTTTGTGAAAGTGTTTATTTCATTCAATATAATGTACAGTACAATGATTAATATCTTTGGCACTTCAACGTTTTATCCACAATTTGTTAAGCTCTTTTGAAAGTAATCAAGTATATTTGTTTGTTTCCTATTGATGATTTGATGTTTTCATCACTGCAGTTTCTAAGTTTGAAATGTAAATAAATGCATTTTCATCAATATCATCACAGCTGTTGTGCATTTAGTACAATTAGCAATCCCACATATATGGGACCAGAACAGTGTCAAATTAAGAACATTGCAGATTAACCAATGAATCTTACTTCCAATAATCATTTGGAAAGAAAACATTTGTTTATTTGCATATTAGTATGTTATACAGTAGAGCCTCGAAAACTCGGCCACACCCTGGCAGGACAAAAAAATCCTTAGTTAATTAATTTTCATGATAAAGACAGCTTTATGCCTCATAAAGTATTTTTTTGAGGTCTGTCTTATCAGGTAAATTACTGTACAGTGTATTCATTAATTTTCATTTTCATGTAGTAAAGGCTCTGTGCCTTCATAAAAGATGTACTTTTCCTTTGTTTAAAGGTATTTGGGCAGTTTATTCTCTGTTGTATTCTCAAGTAAACAATACATACAAGTACAGTACAGTATTTTCTGAGGAAACACTCATACTTATTTTTTTTTAACCCCATTCCCGATAACCCAGCATTTTCACAAACTCGGCCACCCTTCGGTCCACATTAGGCCGAGTTTTCGAGGCTCTACTGTATTAATCAAAAAGATATAGAATAGCAAGAAAAAGTGAAAGGAGAGCATGTTACTATATTTTAGTTTTCAAATTATGACCCTTTTTAAAATAATTGTCTTCTGCCATCACTGGTAATCATGTTGCAAAGTTGGTAAATTCCCATCAAATTTAGAGGAAGATACAATATTTTTGTAGGGACATTTCAAGAGATGATTTCTATATTAATACAATAATTGTTTGTATTATAAGATAA